AAATTGCTTATTTTATTAGCATGTTTTCTTCCTTTTTACTGAATACCAGGAATTGGCATAATTTCATACCAGAAGAACTAACATCATAAAATCATCCTGTAGGCATAAACATATTGTATTCCCAAGATCATTGCTCTTTTTTCTAATCTTGCTCACATGAGCTAGCATCCTTGGGTTTGCCTTTTCTCCTTCACAAGAAACAGAAAATTGTGTTTTTCCATGTCTCCAAATTATTTTCACTGTTTATAATAATTTATGTAAGTGCTATATCATTCTTTTCCAAATTGTTAATTCATTAAGAAGCATCATACTCCAATTAATTACCAAACCCACATACTGTATATAAATATGCATTTCAGCTATCAGTTTAGTTTGTAATTTAGTTGCTAAAAAATGCCTGCCAGCTAGTCTTAGGCTTAAAACCAAGATAGAAAAAATAAAAAGACCATAGCTTTCGGTCTGTCTTATATTCCTACTGGCTTGTCTGCTCTCTGTTTATAGTGGACAGTTCTACTTTAATTAGTTGAATCATCTAAATGACAGTGGCTGCACTGATAACTCTTATGAATTAACAACTTTTATTTATTCCTTTGGCTTATTTAATATACTATGCACACTGATTCCTGCTGTTTGTCTCTTAATCTTAATCCAATATCAGTGTTTATTTGCCTGTAACATTCACATCGTCTTCCTGTTTCAGGTCACAATTGTAAATGTGTGCAATTCATCTCAAGTACAGAGACCGTGCTGGTATAGTTTTTTAAACACTGTACTGGAGATTATAAATGAATTTGGTAGTTATTTAAAGCACCTTTGTTCATTAGTTATTTCCTGGGGTGTAACATAACATAGGAGAGGTAGGTAAGACCAAATTACAAAACTGGTGAGCTTTAGGACAAATTTTATCCATAGAATTGATTGTGTGCTATATGTATTTTTTCTTGTTGCTTATTTTCATTCCTTAAAATAGCAAACTTTTTCTTCAGGTTATCATAGAACCCAATCTGCTCTATTCTCTTATTTCACATTCAGTTCACATATTAATAGCCTTCCTGGCCCCTGTAGACATCTGTTTGCAGCTCTATGAGCTAGACCAAGTCTAAGGTTCCATAGAGCCACAGGAAGATAATAAACTTAAAGATTTCTATTTTACAATATGTTCAATTCCATCACTGATTTGTTATTAAACATTAAACTGTGAAACAGAGATATTAAAACATTAAATGTGGACAAACAATGTAAGTCCCATTAGCCTACAGGGGAAGCAATGAATGGTCTCATTTAATGTGTAGAAAGTTGAGTAGCAGAAACTCTGCAAATGAAATTAAGTGCTATGCCTCATTGAAAAAGCTTAGAGCTCTCCAAGGGGAGATCTGAGTTCCAGTACACAGCAAATAACAGACAGTGCTTTTAATTTAGCTGTAATTTTGAAATGGGTAGCTGGCAAAAGATATTGAGAAGAAGGTTGTAAATAATCTAACCCTGCAGGAAGCCAAGGAGTGTCCATGTCAATGAAGCTCTCAAGAATCAAACTGAAATAAAAATATGCTGTATTTTTATTTTCCATTAACTGAGTAATTTCCAATTTCCGTCCCCCTGTATCTGTTCCAAAGAAACTAGTTTTATTTTTTGCGTGATTCTTATTCAGACCTCTCCTCTCAACTGATTCAATGATCACTTTTTAAAAACTATTTTCATTATTATTTGACATTTTCTGCTCTAACATCACTTTGACACATTTCTGTGTTAAATTTCTATGAATCCGAAAATTGAGGACAGACTGAATTGTAATCTAGTTTCACTCAGCTTGCTTTCAAAATCGATCTTCAAATGTTTGCAAGTAAAGGGAAGGCTGTGATGCAGGGATTGCAAATGGACTGCAAAGGCAGCTGATGGCTCTTCAGGTGAAAACAACACTAACCTGCAACCTTTCTTCAGCACAATCTCCCTCTCTCTGCAGCAACAATTATAGAGCTTGCATTGAACAATTCTATTTTATAAAGGCCTTCTCTATAAAAGTCATTTTAATTTTTTTCAAATATTGTATATATCTCTTAATTAAAGACATGACAACTGTTTAAACCCTACAGCCAGAGAGATTTTCCCTCATTTCTCTAAAAGTTGTGAGTGTACTTATAGACTTGTAACCAGCCCTGGGGAAAATACTTTCCCCCATTTTTTCTATAGAGAATACTAAAGGGATGTCATTATTAAAATAACAAAACTTTTGGAGCGCTCTTATATTCACAGAGAGAGATGTTGGAAAAGAGATAAATGTATACCTTTAATGGAATTCTTTAAATTAAGAGAGAGCCTCACTGCCTCAGTACTGCTTTGGAATTATGCATCACCTCCCCATGTTAGGGTGCCAATGCTCCATATTTGTACATAGGTAACACTTGACCAGTGTCTCAGGGAGTGTGTGTGTATGTGCATCTCAGAATCAACCAGGTCTTCATTTTCAATAGTCTAAGCCACTTTCACTTCATTGCTATTTAATAATTCATTTCCAATGGTCAAAGCTGAATAAGATTCAATAATTTTGTAATCTTCTTCTACAATAAGTGAAACAGAAGCCACCGCAAAATGTGCATGAACACACACGTGAATATGTACAAATGTCACACTCCTATTCATTCTGAGAAAAAAAAAATTCTAATTACCTAGAAATTAAACATTTACAAAGTTTAGATTGATTACAATAGTATCCAATATTTTAAAATCTAAATGCCTGATACTAACAGTAGACAACAGCTATGTTTTTGACATGTAAGTAGATAATAGTATTAGCCAGTAATTTGCACACTTTCTTTCCTACACATCACAGTGTCCCTTAAAATAAATGTTATTATATGTGTTTTTATAAACAAGAAAATTAAGACCTGAAGTATTTAAATAATTTAGTCAAAACTCATAAAGGTAGTAAGCGTCAAATTTGAAAATTATTGTTTTTAACATTATTTGATGAAGTAATCATTTTTAAAGTATATTTTCTGGGGCAAAGTTTTGCCTAACCACATTACCCTCACAGAGAGGGTATCACCCCTTATTATTTATCCTATTGAAATTCTATACTTCAATGGCTCATCACAATTGTAATCAAATAATTAATTTTTATTGTCTCTCTTTCTTTCTGGATTATAAATTTCATGTGAGTATAATTGTTTACATTTTGCTGCTGCTGCATTTCAGCTTTTAGAGTGGTGATCAGCATACAAGAAGTACTCTATATATTTGTTAAAATAAATAATTAAATGATTACATAGCAAGTCTCTAATAGGTTGGTGGATTTCCCAGGATACATCATTATTCTTACAGTTTACATAATGCTAGCTCACAATTGAGGAAGTGCTTGATAAAATGATGTACTCTGACCAGTTTATGATTATACTATTTAGTTCTAACATTTCATGTGAATTTCTTGGGAAATGAAGACAGTAGTTATTTACTGCTTAGGTTTGCAGAACACAAATGTATGTCTTTAATTAGCACATTGTCATAGAAAAGAGTATCTTTGTATCTTTCAAGCATGAATAATCAAATGCTATGTGACATTATGATAATATAATTATATTATATATACATTACATTTATGTCTATGCTGTGCCTGAAACTGTGCTTGTCAGATCTCATTTAATTGTCACAACACATACAGTATTATTATGACAGGCTGTATTAATGTTTCTGTTTTGTAAATATAGATGTTAAGCTTAGGGGGATAGAAACAAAATGTTTAAAGATAGGCTATTCTTAAACAATTGTCTATCATTAGAGAAAGGCCTCTAGCTTGCATATTGTACCATTATTAAATAACATGAATTTTTATCATATGTTAGATTCCACAAATTACTTCTCTCTGGCAATGTCTAAAGGAATGGAGTTCTTTACAAAAGAGAAAATTAATAAAAATAAATAAAGTTTCAAGGATAAGAATTTTCATCTTTCCTTACAATAAGAGACTAGAAATATCCTGATATATTCTTTCTCTTTCCAAAGAGGCAATGAGAATTATTGCAATGAATAATTTATATATTTTATCATGTTTGACCTCTAAAAAATCAGATTGTAATCTTGGCAGCTTGCTGATATGCAATAAGAAATTAAACTGAGAAATGATGCTACAAAAAAAAAAGAAAAAGACCTCCTCAGTCACTCCCCCAACTTCCCCTACTTTTAACATCTTGAATTTGTGTAGTATATTTGTTACAGTAGAAGAATCAATGTTGATGCATTATGATTAACTAAGGAGTGAACATTGGAGTTCACTCTCCGTGTTGTACATTCTCTTGGCCTGTCTGTAATGAAATGTATCTACCATTATAGTATCATATGGAGTAAGTTTTATTGCCCTACAATTTTTGGTTTTCTCCTAGTCATCCTTTTTAATGCCTTCTTAAAGGGAAAATTGACAAAGAAATATTACACATGGAAAGAAGGCACCTCTCTGTGGAGGAGAAGCAAGAGGTGAGCAGGAAGATGGCAGAGATTGGGGTGGAGTGGTAGTTCCAGGATCTGTCTCTCACTGACAGTACGTAGAATTGTGAAGCAAGTGATGGCTCTTTCTCCTTTTTCAGAAGAGATTGGAAAACTAAGGGTTAAGTTAGTGAGCATTATTATGTACAGTGCACTGACCAGGCAAAACTTAAGCGCAAAATTTGTTACTCCTCCTAGGAAAAACACTGTCAGGCACACTGAAACCCAAGGACCATTTTCAAATGAGCAATTAGCATTTTAAAAGCCTAGTTTCACCAGAATGCACTGCTGGAATATAATAATATTTCACAAAGAAATAAATTATCTAAATGGTATTGTTCTAGAATGGAGAGCACCAGAGCCTGCATTTCACAACCTGATATTCTAGCTTAGGCCATTTTCATAGATCAGGATATGAGTAGATAGAATCGGATTTGAATGTATGAATTATGACTTCATAGGATGTTTTGAGAGGTGCTAGGAAAGTTTCTGTACCCTTAAATATCTCTCTCCCTGGCTTGTCACACTGCTCTCCTAAGACCTGAGAGATTAATGGCTTTGAGTTAATTTGTAGATGTTTGGAATTAATGTATGTGTCTTTTTTTTACACTTTAGTTCAGTTTGTTCTGTTATTTCTTAGTTGAGGCACTGACAGAATAGGAGATTGAATAGGAGGGAGGAAGGCATGAAACAATGTAATTTCAGAGCATTGGGAATGTCTAAGGCGTTCAGGTCTGTGGAAGAAACTTTATGGCAACCAGAGGACAGTATAAAGGCACTTGGTACCCAGGGTTCAGGTAACTAGGGCTTCCAGTGGTGGAAAATGGAAATCAAAGGGAAAATGAGAAGACAATAAACCACACCCTGGGTTTGTCAGAGGACTGCATAGGACCAATTCTAGGCATAAGACTCAACTAAGTTCAGTGTTAGTTTGCTGAGAAGACAGATAAAAATTGGTACCTGGGTACATTGGTCAATAACATTCCAATATATGACCTCATTATCATCCATTTCTCTTTCCATTCCAACACTGTCTCTATGCAAATGTGTCGCACATTTCCAGGAAATTGGAAAAAAGCAGCAGGAGCTGACAGAGCAGAATATAACTAAGGGGTATTTGAGACAGATGCTGACTATGTCCTGCCCACACCCCTTAGATCTTTCAAACTGCTTGGCAATTGACAGTAACATCATATGTGCCTGGGGGCTCTTATTATTCCCCTCTGAAACTGAAAATATCAAGAAATTAATCCTCCTCTCCCTCCTTCTTAGCACTCCCCAAACAATGACTCCTGGTTTCTTGAATTGTGTTAAATTTGAGGCACGTGTTCGGCACATTTCCAGAATTTTCTCCTGGGTTTTACATCCAGCTGCCCACTGTGATATGTGGCTCCATAGTGACCACTGCCTTCCCTTCCTAGGATCACCTCCACACTCCCAGCCAGAGTTGTTGCATTTCCCAAACAGGTCATCGTTTACGCCAATCCATGTCTGCAATTCTGTCCTTAGGACAGAAGTCAAATGGTGTACAAGAAAGAAATTATGATATTACTGACATCTGGGTAATTACGGATAATGTGATTAAAATCCACTAATTTGAAACACCCCTTTCAAGAAACATGGATACTGAAGCTGCAGTTAAATTTGACAAAAATGTCAGAAGGAGATATTATATAGCAGACATTATATAGGTTTAGTAGTATGTTATTTTCTTACATTCTAATTTCATTAATGGCCAGCTATGATTTTCACCCATTCAATTCATAATTTTTTTCTTGCTAGGTTTCAACAATCAGGGGATAAATCACAACATCACATAAACTATGTTGTTAGGCAATTTTGTTGTTGCGTGAACACCGTAGAAGATACTTATTCAAACTTAGATGTTACAGCCTACCACACACCTAGGCTACATGGTGTAGGCTATTGTTCCTCGGCTACAAATATGTACAGCACATTACTATACTGATTACTGTAGATATGTTTTGGCTATGTCCCACCCAAATATCATCTTGAGTATAAGTCCCACAATTCTCACATGCCCTGGGAGGAACCAGTGGGAGGTAACTGAATCTTGTTGGACATGGTCTTTCCCATGCTGTTCGCCTGATAGTGAATAAGACTCCCGAGATCTGATGGTTTTAAAGGTGGAATTTTCCTGCACAAGTTCTCTCTTTGACTGCCACTATCCATGTAAGGCATGACTTGCTTATCCTTGCCTTCCACCATGATTGTGGGGCCTCTCCAGCCATGTGGCACTGTAAGTCCATTAAATCTCTTCTTCTCAGTCTCAGATATGTCTTTATCAGCATCATGAAAACGGACTAATACAGTTGACAATTTAAGACAGTGTTAAGTATTTGTGTATCTAAACATATCTAAACATTTAAAAGATACAGTAAAAATATAGTATACTCTTATGGGACCACTGTCCTATATGCAGATTGTTATTGACTGAAATGTATTATGTGACACATGACTGTACATGCGAGATATTAATTCCATATTGGACATATGGCTTTCAAATATTTTCTCCTAATCCATAGGTAGTCTCTTCACTCTGTTATTTGTTTTCTTATTGTGTAGAAGCATTGACATCTTTCTAAAAAATCAATTGATTATAAATGTGTGGATTTATATCTGGGCTCTCTATTACGTTCCATTGGTCTATGTCTGTTTTAATGCCAGCTCCTGATTTCTATAGTTTTGAAGCATTTTTTTCCGTCAGATAGTGTGATGCCTTCAGCTTCCTTCTTTTTGTTAAAGAATGCTTTAGCTACTTTTTGTGCTCTATTGTGGTTCCATAAAAATTTTAGATAGTTTTTCTATTTCTATGAAAACTGTCAGTGGAATTTTGATAGGAATTGCTTTGAATTTTTAGATCACTTTGGGTAGTATACACATTTTAATAATTTAATTATTCCATTTCATAAACACAGGTTAGTTTTCTACTTATTTGTATCTTCTTCAATGTCTTTCATGAGTATTTTATAGTTTTCAGTGTACAGGTCTTTATTCTCTTTGATTAAATTTATTCCTAAGTATTTTATTTTATTTTTTGTAGTGAATGAAAATGGGATTGTTTTCTGATTTCTTTAGTGGCTAGTTTGTTGTTAGTGTATAGGAATGTTATTCATTTTTGTATATTGATTTTGTTTCCTGAAACTTTACTGAAATTTGTTTCTTAGTTCTAAGAGTCTTGATAACTCTTTAGCATTTCTCTATATAAGAACATGTCAGCTGCAAACAGGGACAATCTAACTTCTTCCTTTCAAATGTGGATATCTTGTATTTCTTTCTCGTGCCTATTTATTCTGTCTAGGATTTCTAGTACTATACTGAAAAAAAGTGAGGGACAGCAGGCATCCTTCCTGATCTTAGAGGAAAAGCTTTCAACTTTTCACCATTGAGTATGATGCTAACTGTGTGTCCATCACATGTGGCTTTTATTGTGCTGATGAGGTACATTCCTTCTATGCTGTATTAGTATGTTTTCAAGCTCCTGATAAAGATATACCCAAGACTGGGAAATTTACAAAAGAAAGGTTTAATGGACTTACAGTTCCACATGGCGGGGGGGGGCTCGCAATCATGGTGGAAGGTGAAAGGCAAGGAGGGGCAAGTAATGTTTTATGTAGATGGTGGCAGACAGAGAGGGAACTCATGCAGGGGAACTCCTCTTTATGTAATGATCAGAACCTGTGAGACTTATTCACTATCATGAGAATGGCACAGGAAAGACTTCCCCTGATGATTCAATTGCCTCCCAGTAGGTTTTTTTCTATGATGCATGGGAATTGCGGGAGTTAGAATTCAAGATGATATTTGAGTGGGGACACAGCCAAACAATATCATATACCTAGTTTGTTGGAAGTTTTTATAATGATAAGATTGCAAATTTTGTTGAAAGTATTTTCTGCATCTATTGAGATGATCATATGATCTTTGTTCTTCACTATGTTAATGTGGTGTATTGCATATACAGATTTTAGTATACTGGATTATCCTTGCACCCCCAAAATAAATTCTGCTTGATCATGGTGAATACACCTTTTAAAGTGCTGGTTAATTGATCTGCTATTATTTTGTTGAAGATATATATCTATATTTACAGTGGATAGTGGTCTGTGATTTTCTTTAACTTGTAGTGTCTTTGGCGTTGCTATCAGAGTAAAGTTAGCCTTACAAATGAATTAGAAAATATTCTCTCCTCTTCAATTTTTGGACTGGATAAGTATTGATGTTCTTTAAATCTGTGGTAGAATTCATCAGTGATGGCTTCCAGTTCTGGGCTTTCTTTGCTAGGAGACTTTTTATTATTGATTCACTCTCCTCATTTGTTATTGTTCTATTCAGGTTTTCTACTTCTTCATGATTAAGTATTAGTAGGATGTATGTTTGTAGGAATTTATCAACTTTTTCTAGGTTATTCAATTTGTCCGTTTATAATTGTTCATAATGATCTCTTATGACACTTTGTATTTCTGCATTTATAATTGTAAAGTCTCCTCTTTCATTTCTGGTTTTGAGATAGTTCTCTTTTTTTCTTATGAGTTTCAGTAAATGTTTGTTGATATTGTTTATATTTAAAAAAAACCCAAACCTTAGTTTCATTGATGTTTTCTATAATATTTTCTAAATAAAATATTTAAGAATAAATGTAACTAAGGAAGTAAAAAACTGTACACGGTAAACTATAAAACAATGAGTCAATAAATAAATCTATTTCATTTAGTTCTGCCCTGATTTTTATTATTTTCTTCCTTCTCATAACTTTGGGTTTATTTTTTTCTCCTTTCTTTTCTAGATCCCTGAGGTGTCAAGTATGGTTGCTTTTTGAGGACCTTTCTTCTTTTTCAGTGAAAGCATTTAGTGCTATAAATTACCGTCTTACAACTGCTTTTGCAGTTGTGTTTCCATTTCAGTTTGTCTCACATAATTTTTAATTTCTGTTCTAATTTTTTGTTTAACTCATTGATTGCTTAGAAGCATGTTGGGTTGGTTCCGAGTCTTTGCTATTGTGAATAGTGCTGCAATAAACATACATGTGCATATGTCTTTATAGTAGAATAATTTTTAATACTTTGGGTATATACCTAATAATGGGATTGCTGGGTCAAACAGTATTTCTAGTTTCAGATTCTTGAGAAATTGTTACACTGTCTTCCACAATGTTTGAACTAATTTACACTCCCACTAATAGTGTAAAAGCCTTCCTTTTCCTCCACATCCTCTCCAGCATCTGTTGTTTCCTGACTTTTTAAATGATCGCCATTCTAACTGGCATGAGATGGTATCTCATTGTGGTTTCAATTTGCATTGCTCTAATGACCAATAATGATGAGATTTTTTTATCTTTGTTGTCTGTGTAAATATCTTCTTTTGAAAAGTGTCTGTTCATATCTTTTGTCCACTTTTTGATGGGGTTGTTTGTAAATTTCTTTAAGTTCCTTGTAGATTCTGGATATTAGCCTTTTGTCAAATGGATAGATGATAAATTTTTTTCCCATTCTGTAGGTTGCCTGTTAACTCTGTTGACAGTTTCTTTTGCTGTGCAGAAGCTCTTTAGTTTGATTAGATACCATTTGTCAATTTGGGCTTTTGTTGCCATTGTTTTTGGTGTTTTAGTCATGAAGTCTTGCCCTTGACATGTCCTAAATGGTATTGCCTAGGTTTTCTTATTTTTATGTTTTAGGTCTTATGTTTAAATCTTTAATCCATCTTGAGTAAATTTTTGTATTGGGTGTAAGGAAGGGGTCCAGTTTCAGTTTTCTGCATATGACTAACCAATTTTTCCACTACCATTTATTAAATAGGGAATCCTTTTCACATTGCTTGTTTTTGTCAGGTTTGTCAAGTATCAGATGGTTGTAGATATATGGTGTTATTTCTGAGGCCTCTCTTCTGTTCCATTGGCCTACATATCTGTTTTGGTACCAGTATTATGCTGTTTTGGTTACTGTAGCCTTGCAGTATAGTGTGAAGTCGGGTAGTGTGATGCCTCCAGCTTTCTTCATTTTGCTTATGATTGTCTTGGCTATACAGGCTCTTTTTTGGTTCCATATGAAATTTAAAGTAGTTTTTTCTAATTTTGTGAAGAAAGTCAACAGTAGCTTGATGGGAATAGCATTGAATCTACACACTACTTTGGGCGGCATGGACATTTTCATTATTTTCATTCTTCCTATCCATGAACATGGAATGTTTTTCCATTTGTTTCTGTCTCTCTTATTTCCTTGAGCAGTGGTTTGTAGTTGTCCTTGAAGAAGTCCTTCACATCCCTTGTAAGTTGTATTCTGAGGCATTTTATTCTCTTTGTATCAATTGTGAATGGGAGTTTGCTAATTATTTGACTGTTTGTCTATTATCAGTATATAGGAATGCTTGTGATTTTTTCACATTGATTTTGTATCCTGAGCCTTTGCTGATTTTGTGTATCAGTGTAAGGAGATTTTGGGCTGTGATGATGGAGTTTTCTAAATATACAATCATGTCAGCTGCAAACAGAGATAATTTGACTTCCTCTCTTCCTATTTGAATACCCCTTACTTTTTTTTTTTCTCTTGCCCAATTGCCCCAGCCAGAGCTTTCTTTCTTTTTTCTTCTTCTGTTTTTTTTTTTTAAATTATACTTTAAGTTCTGGGGTACATGTGCAGTTCCTGCAGGGTTGTTACATAGGTACACACATGCCATGGTGATTTCCTGCCTCCATCCCCCTGTCACCTATATTAGGTATTTCTCCTATTGTTATCGCTCCCCAATCTCCACACTCCCTCTATCCCTCCCCTACTCCCCCACCCCCCAGTAGATCCCAGTGTGTGATGTTCCCCTCCCTGTGTCCATGTGTTCTCATTGTTCAACACCCACTTATGAGTGAGAACATGCGATATTTGGATTTCTGTTCTTGTGTCAGTTTGCTAATAAACAGAAACAATGACAAAACCACATGATTATCTCAACATATAAAGAAAAGGCCTTCAATAAAATTCAACACCCCTTCATGCTAAAAATTCTCAATAAACTAGGTATTGATGGAACATATCTTTTGATGGTATCACATAAATCCTGAAAGTTTGTTCATTCTTTCTTTGTCACTGACTTTATATTTTCAAATAACCTGTCTTTGAGCACATAGATTGTTTCTTCTGTTTGATCAGCTCTGCTATTGGTGCTTTCTATTGCATTTGTCATTTCATCATTTTATTATTCAGCTCCAGAATTTTCACTGGATTTTTTTTTCATTATTTGAATCTCTTGGTTACATTTCTTATTGTAGTCTTTTATCATTTTTTCTGGTTTTATTTAATTGTTTCTTTTTCTTTTCCTTGAAGTTCTCTGAGCTTCCTTAAAACAATTATTTTGAATCCTTTGTCATGCAGTTTATATATAATTTCTGCAGGGTCATTTACTGATAAATTATTGTATTCTTTTAGTTTTATGTCTCCTTGGTTTTTTATGTTTCTTGTTGCCCTACCCTGATATCTGTACATTTGATGGAGATGAAAACTTTTCCAGACTTTCTGAGCTACTTTTTCTGTGGAAAGACATTTCCCTATTGGAAGTGGGAGATGTGACAATGCTTGCTTAGTGGGGTGAAGTGGTCTAATATCAGTGAGTGTGCAGCTGTGTAGTCTTTGTGCAATTCTATTGGCTGAGGTCATTGTTTACAAATATTTCCAGTATTCTCAGTGGTCAATATTTTGGATGTATTCAGTGGTAACAAGGGTTCTTGGGGTTTCCAGAAGCAACGGCTATTAAAGTTCTTTCAATCTCTTTTTCTCCCACCAGAGATGTAAATGAGGGAATCCCTCCTGGCATTGGGTCTGGCTTGTGGGCCAACTTACAGTTACTTACACTAGAGTGTGAAATAGCTCACTATGGTGATGACTCCTGTGTCTGAGATGTAGCATGCCAAGCATAGTCACAGAGCTTTGGTTTAAAGTGTGAGGAACATTATGGCTCCAGGATTAGGGCATGCATTGGGCTGGAAAAGGTAGAAGTTCTTTTCCAGAAGCAGTTCAACACTAGCCACTTTGTGAGTGGGGGATGGTGTGGAGCCATTTATACCTCTCAGGAGTTCCTTGGTGAATGTGGTTATTAGGTACGTCAGTGGCAAAATGTGATGGTGTCCTCTGTGGAGTAGGCTACTAGAAACCAAGGTGGTTCCCACTGCATAGCTGATACTGATATCCTCCACCTTTATTCTTTGCCCCTAGTTATCTTGTGGTATCTCAGATATGACAGTCAGCAGTAATCTTTTCCAAGTCGATTTTCTTATTTTTTTCTTTTTTTGTTCCACTGTACTACTGAAGATTTTAATGAGTCTTCAAATGCTCTCTAGGATATTTTGGGTTGTGGATAGCTATCTGTATGGCTTTTTGTGTGGGAATGGGGTGAACTCTCTCCTATTCTATCATCTTTGTGACATCACCTTTTTTGGTCACACTGTTTGGACCAATCAACAAGTCTTATTATACTAACTCCTAATTATTTGTTGGTTCTGTCCATTTACTTCCAAACCATAAGAGTATCCTAGTTGAAATCACCATTTTTTCACTTTGAAATTGTTATAATATATTAAGAGTGAGATGATGTTTCCCAATAATATCTATTCTTTTTTCTATGCTCCACAATGCAGCCAAAGAGATTTTTATAAGACATAATTCTGACTTGCTTGCTTAAAATGATCAAATATTCTCATTGTTCAAATCACCAAATTTTGGTATGCTGGACAAAGTTTTTTATTACTTGGTCCCTGAATACTTTTTTAGTCTCATCTTAGTTCAGACCCTGTTCTGATTCCACATTCAATAAATACTCAAGATCTTATAAATTGTTTATGGCTTTGCCTATTTTGCAGGTGTTCTTGCAGAAAGAACTTGTATAGAATTATAGGTATCAACATAAATAAATTCTGTGATTTTCTTTCCCTTTCTGTTTGCTTCCCATTCCTGTGTACTAACTACCATGGATCTTATATAAGATTCATTCTCTCTGATCCACTCAAGAAAACTTCATCTCTCCTTCTTACCGTCACCATAATCAATACATCTCTCTGTTACAGACTTTGGACATATGAGTCTTTCTTTCTTTTAGGCTACATATTCCTTGGGGGAAAGGACAAGGGACTATGTACCTTGAGAGCTCAGGAAACTGGACAATGTTTAGCATAAGTAGAACATCAATAAAATAGTTGTCAAATTGATAAATAAGCATGGATTGTATATTTTTTCTTCTTTTGTTTTCATCAGGTTTCTTTCCAAATCATTAATTGAGACATTGATCACCACCTGAGGAGGTCTGTCCTCCAGACCCCGAGTCAATGACAGATGAATGAAATACACTCTCACACACAGAATGTAGTATAAGAGTCAGGCTAGGGGGTCGTCAGCTGCTCTCAGAGGGCAATACAGATAATTGACCCCTACTCGCTGTTCCTCCTCACATTTATTCAGTATAGATTTAATAACAGAGGTTTTAAGTCAACATGCTTGTGGATAATTAACATGGGTAAAAGAGTGGCTTTATGAATGATATAAGCTTTTGGTTCCAGGGCCCAGAGTAAATACCATTAACGGGTACTCCCTTTTCAACTGCCCCCTGAGAGGACCATTCAGTACAAAGTTTACATGAGTAAACAGAGTAGAGACAAAGGAGTGTAGGGTAAACAGACTTAACTGGGGAAGCTTTTATTATCCCTAATTTTCACCCTGTGATCTAATGTTCTAACGTAAGAACTGGCTGCCTTCAGTCAGTCTCATTAAAACCTTTTGGCCTTCCAAAATGTTGGAGACTATAATTTTATTTCCCTTAATATTTTGCCAACCACCTGAGGGAATCTCAACAATTAATGATAAATTTCTACTCCATCTCACCTAGTTTTACATGTTCAGATTCTCATGCTTATTTCAAACAGATTTTCGAGAAAATTACTTTGAAAACAAATCTATAATATATTTGAAGAGAAAAAAGGATAGGAAGAAAAGAGGAAATGAAAAGCAAATATTTTTCTGGACTTATCTTCTTGGTTACATTTCTACAGAGAAAGTAAGCTCATGGAAAGAGCAGCAATATGGTATCCTCTCTTTCTTAGATTCATTATCTTGCTCTGTCTCTCCTCTTCTAGAGTCATATTCATTTTGTGCATATGTGGTCTCTTGAGTGTCTCCTTTCACCTTTCCTCATATTTCCAAGAGCTCCATCAGTCTCTAATATTTTTTATACCTTGGAGAATCCCCACATATTGTGGGGACATTTTTCTTATTCTTTGATTTTCACTGATATTGCTTTATGTTAAAATATATATACTTTACAGGAAACGAAAGATATAAATATGGGCTCATAAACTTGATTCCAAAATGATTATATTATTAGTAGAAAAGACACCAATAAACACTTTAACTCCTTGTAGTTTATGTATTATTTGAATAAATAATAAACTGAAAAGAAAATACCACCAAAGATTGCTTAATCATGATTTTTGATACATAGTTCATGTTCTGTTCCCTATCTTCCAGATTATTATAGGCCTGATTAAGAGCATTTTGAAATCTGTTGGAGATCACTGTTGCTGAAGCCAAGCAGACAAAGACACAGAGTTCTAAAGAAAGCTGAAACTATCCAAATTCCATCTGATATAGATGAAACCAACCAGTGTGTTACTTATAGTTTGGGTTGGGGAGAGGAATTTCTCCTTGAATTTTGAAGGTTCAAAGTCAGAAGTGTATGCTGGTGAATAACTGAATGATAAGCACTTTTTAAAATTAAAGGACAATACTCAAAATCACTGCCATAATGTTAAGTTGTTAAACGCAGTTACAGAGAATCAGGATGTATAGCTAAGAAATTAAAATTAATATGGATAAGGACAAAAACAACTGTTAACAACTTATTTGCAATTTAGTACAACTGTCTGAAAAGGCGTTTGGTGTCTGTGGCTGTCTTGAGCATATCAATTGTGACATTACATGCGGATAAAATATTCATGATTAAAGGCAAAAGATAAGAGAAACAGAGATTTACATTCCCTCATTCTTTACTACATTCTGGGCCTCGATTATTTATTAGCAAATGGTACAAAAATGTAGCCAGGTCTGGAAGAAAGTCCTGTGACAGTCAGTAATAAAATATAGATGCCTTTACTTTCCAGGCTTCTTAGAGTAGATCTTTTAATAATCTGAGAAGCAAAATGCCAAGGTCTTACTTGGTAGAACAATAGTATACCAAGCTCTTTCTTGGAGTTCCTATTCAAAGTGACCTCAGCCCAATAATGTCACTACAGTTCCCACAGTTGGAGAGGAAAGCTTTATAATTTTAAATCCCCTCAGGAAATTCTGGAACCTTTCATGATGTCTTAGAAAGTTTTCTTTCTTGTGACCTCTGCATATAAAAACATCAAACATTATCATTTAAGTGCTGAAGTCTGT